TAAGAAATTATAAATAATTTAAAGGACACGAGGGAAATATATAATAAGCATGCAAATTGGGGGTGGAGGTGGACCATCGAATGTAGGTTCAAAGTACACAAATTAACGATACGAACAACAGTTGTAGACCGATCTTGAAAACGAAATTATTTTGACTTTTTATTTAAAGTTAAATACAATGATCGAATAAATCAAAACCAACGAAACAAGATATATAATCGTAATCACGAGTTTGGTAAACGAAATTGCCGATTCAACGTTAATTTTGTCTTAACAACCGTAAGCCATTACAAGTTGTTTTTTAATTTTATCATCGTTAAAATCTATGTTTGACATTTTTAGGTCAAACTCAGAAAAAATTGAAAATTGATTTGGGCAAATCAACAAAGGAGGCAGTTGAAAAATTAATTTTGGAAACTACAAATATGAAAATAAAAGCAGAAAATAGAAAGAAAAAAAAAGAAAATGGAAACACAAAACAAAAAACGAAAACAAATACCACAATGTTTAAGATATGCAAAACCAAATGGTGTTTGGTCTAGCAGTATCATAACCCTTAGTCTTTTAGAAGATCATAAATTCAAACCTTACTATAGGTGAGAAAAATGTGTAAATTTATTTGTTGCATTTTATCGTATATAAATATTATATTACTTAAAAAAAATAATACGTCCAAAGAAACAGGCTGCCCATTTGAAAACAAGTGGGACCCAACGATCTCTATCTTTATCTACCACTATGATGGTTATTCCGTTTTTAAAGATATCCTTTTCCAATCCATTCACACCAATTTACAACTCATAAAGCATATAACACGACTTATTATACCAAAAGTTTTTTGTTCTGTAAAAAGTAATTTCTTAGATACACAAAACCCTACGTCTCTTTTATTTTTTTAAACATTTTATTGATTGGAATTTACAAATAAAATTTTAAAAAAAAATGTAATTTCAAGAAACAATGGATGGTAAATTTGAATTGAAGAAAAACTTACCCAATAATCGAACCAGATGTTTATGGCGGAGGCGATTGATGATGGTGAGTTCAGCCAAGAAATCGTCTTCTCCTTTTAAGCTTTCTCTGGAAAACCATTTCACGGCCACCTCCACATTGTCCTCCGGCAACACTCCCCGGTAAACGACGCCATAACCACCTTGTCCAAGCTTCCTCTTCTCGTCGAAGTTATTTGTGGCTTTCTTCAGCTCCCGGAATCGGAACTCCTTCGGCATTCCCGGCAACGTTCTCAGCCGGCTGAGAATGTTTGATTGCGACCGATCCACCAATCGTTTCTTGTATAAATAACGACCTAGCAGAGCCGCCAGCGCCACCACGGCCACCACCACCGGAATCCCAACGCCAAGCAAGATTTTCATCCATGGACTCTTCGGGCCGGGGAAGTAGTTTACAGTTAGGTTCCATTGTAGAACGCAGTTTAGCTCGATTAAGTCTCCGGTGGAGGCGGCGAAACCGAAGTAAGAGTAGCGATTAACTGTCCTTCGGAGATCCAGGTTGTACTCGATGATGGGTGTTTCCGGCATGGGTGGAGTCGGAGACGTTACTTCCGGTTTGTCTTTGATGTAAACCCGTAAGATCTTCTCGACACCGTCGTAGTGAATCCAGATATTATGGAACGCCGGTGTTGTTCCCGGAGCTAGAGTGATGTTTTTGGGTGTTAATGATTTGGAGTCGACAGATCTGATAGAGTGGATGTTGAGACCTATGTGGTTGTTATCGATATCAAAGCTTTGTTTGACGGTGTCGAGCTCGACGGCGAGGATGCCGTTGCTTGATTGGCCGTCGAGGGTGGCGTTGGTGAGGCCGAGATATTGACCGTAACTATTACTAGGAATTTGAAGGGTGGGTGCTATTAAGAAGGCTAAACCTTCACCGGTGGTGCCGTTGTTAACAGGATACATATTAACAAGAAAGTATGTGGTGAATGATGCTACAGTGGAGTTGATATCTCCGTCGCCGCCGTCCCATAACTTGAAGCGTTTTCGGAACATGATCCTACCGGACTGGTTCTGGAGGCCAAAGACGGCGGTGTTGCCGGTGTCTGGAGTGACCTGCAGGGCATCCTTTTCAATCGTGGCATTGTTTTCGAATACTAACTCGGAGTTGGCTTTTTCCTTCAAGGATTTGTTGAAGCTTGGGTAAGAATGAGAGTAAGTTTCCAACTTTGCGACGGCGGTGCAGAAGAACAGAAAGAGGACGATGGTTGTGATGGTGGCCGGCGGTGCTACTCCCATCTCATGCGCTGATTGAGGTGGAGGTGGGTGTGAGTTCTGATGATTGATTGGAAGGGAGAGAGAATTAAAAAGGGTTTGAGATCTTGAATTTGTTTAAAGGGGGGGTGAGGCTGAGGGAGGTGGTGGTTGCTCGGAAACTGTCATTGCCATTCCTATTGGGGTTTGATTTATTATTAGTATTATGTACGTCTTAGTTTGGACGATCAAGAACATATTTTTATTTTAATACTAAAAACTTGAGTTTATATGGTCAATGAGTCCCCTTTTGGCAAATAGCCTTAATTAAAAGCCAACCTCTTAATTGGTAAGAGGTAAGGTTGTTTGGCAAAAAAAAATAAGCCTCTTAATGGTTATAATAACCTCTTAACTATTTTGTGTCTAAGGCCTCACTTAACCATTCAGATTGCATTTGTTCCATCTTAACCCTTCCACACCCCCTCTCTTCTAGCTGCATTGTGTCGCCTTTCACGAGAACTCGTCGCCTTCCACAGCCATCGCCGGTCACCTCCATCGTCTCCATCGCCGGTCGCCATCACCCGCCACCCCCACAGCTTCGCCGATTGTCGCTAGTCACCTCCACAGCTTCGCCGGTTGTCGCCGGTCACCTCCATTGTCTCCACCCCTCTTTTCCAGCCGCTCTCTTCGTGCATCTCTGCATCTCTATTTCTTCACCTCCACCATCTCTGCATCTCTCTATCTTCGCCTCCAACAGCATCCAAGGCACCATCCCAGCAAACATAAGTAGATGCCTTCAGCTCAGGGTTCTCGATTTCACTGCATCTCTTTATTCCTGAAGATCTCACTCTCCACCATCTCTGCATCTCTCTATTCCTGAAGATCTCGAGGGTAATCTTGAAAGGCCTAGGTTTAATGAAATAGATTGTCTTCAAATATCCCAAATTCATTGGGTAATCTTGGAAACTTGACTAAAATTGATTTGTCAAACAATGAATTGGGAGGAAGCATACCCATCAGTTTTAGGAATTTCGGAAGGATAATTTTCATAGATTTGTCCATGAATAAGCTCAGTGGGTGTATACCCACAGAAGTTCTTGATCTCCCAAGTTTAACCACAATCCTTAATCTTTCCATCAATTCATTAACAGGCTCTTTGCCTCGAGAAATCAAACTTCTGGAAAGAGGGTTAAAATGGTAATTTGTTACAACATTATTTCATTCAGTACTTAACCATTCTGACCACTTAACCATTCTGCACCAAACCATTCAGCAACTGTCAAACAGCCCCTTAGTAACGGTTAGTAAATGCTTATTCGGGTAAGTGAACATTAAGTTACATTATTTTATCGGATGAATATTGGAATGACCAAAAATCTTACCCGATAAGAGCAAGACAAAGATCAAGATTTTTACCCGCTAAGTGAGGACAACAACTCTTACCATGGTAAGTGCTTACCAGGTAAATTGTTGCTTACGATACCGTTTTGATGAACTAAAATCTTACCCGGTAAGTAAATGATAGTGTTAAATTTACCGATAAGCACTTACCGGATAAGTGTTTGGTAAACGACCCCTTAATGTTGATAATCCTTACAAAAATATGCTTTAAACTTGGCTTCATTTTTCCAAATATACCTTTGCACATGAATCATGTTTGGGTCTTGTATTTCTCACTCCAAAAATTCCAACTCATAAACCCATTCTCTAAATCTTGATTACTCCTGGAATAAGACGGTTGATGAGTGAGTGATATCTTTAATTTGTATCAACTCAATATACTCTTTTTTATGTGTTTATTATGTTTCATCAACGTTTTTGTTATATTTTGGAGTTGACTGGTTCTTGCTTACGATTTCATCATGATCTTTCCCCTATTTGTAGACCTCCCCACCTCAAAAAATATGTCAACTAGGTCACGGTTGCGTTTTCTTTGTAACTCTGGTAATGTTCTTATAAATAGTCATATGTTACAGTTTGAGTAATCAACGTCTACAATCATCACCAGCACATCCACCTACATACATATATGGGGGTATGGTGATAATAGTTGAAGTGTTTCAATGGTAAGAACCTGTTGACGTAAGTTTTTTATGACTATTTATGAATGCATTATTAAGGTCATCAAGAAAATGTTGGAAGAGAAGGAAGATTCAATATGCAAGAAGAAGATGAATAGTAACATATATTTTATTATTGCATAGAACTTTGTACATACATCAATCATTTACAAGACACAGGGATACAATATTTATACACAAAGCATGAATCGTTGTTTCCTTTTGGAATAGGTGTGACCCTTCAACAAACGGTTATGCCACTAATTAACTACTAAACCGTAAATCGTCAATATAGCTTACTTCAAATGGATTTTAACCCCATTTTTGCCCTAATTCTCATAGCGACTTTGGGGAAGAGAGTTTTTCTCCCCCACTTGTTCTTTATCTTTTCTTTTCTTACCGGGTAAGCGCTTGTCAAGTCACATTCCCTTACTGGATGAATATGACAAGTACCAAGCATCTTACCTACTAAGAGCGAAGGCACATACCAAGAGTCTTATCCGGTAAGTGATGGCGACGACTATTACCACGTTTAGCGCTTAGTGGGTAAATTGTTACACACGATGTCGTTTTGGAAGACTAAAATCTTACCCGGTAAGTAAGCGATAGAGTTTGATTGGAACTCAAATGTACTTATGTTTAAGAATGAACAAATGCTTATTGATGTATTGATGGGTTCCTTAGATATTCGATAGCTTTACATTACTACTATTGAACATGCATCAAATTCTGTTAAGTACATAATCTTACAAGAGAACAAATCAAATCGTCCATCGACTTAACTATCTAACTCTAGGTTTACATATACATATATCTATCTATCTATCTATATATATATATATATATATATATATATATATATATATATATAGGTTGGTTCAAATACTAACCAAAACTATTGTGCAAACTATGCTAACCAACATCAACCAATCATGTTCCATCTTTTAGTTATGTTCAAATGTAACTTACATATTAATTGTAAGGGTATTTAGGTAATTTATCATTCTTATGTAACTCCCAAATATTTTAATTGGGAGTTACAAATCTTAAAATATCACTAATTGATCTTCATGTAATAATGACATGAAGTTTCACATGTATTCATCTTACTGAATTTTACATTTATTCTTCCTATAATGGTTTTGATATTGTAAATTTGAAAAAAGTCCCTTTTGTAAAGATTCCGTTATAGTCCGAGTAATATGGATAATCATARAGTAAAAYGGATYGACGACAATGAGAATGAAAAAGCTAAAAGCGTCTACGAATACATTCAGAATTCGAATTCCGAAAGTGAAGAAAATGATCAATAAGTGTCCCAATATGAACATATGATAGCTATGAACACGCTAATGTGAACACGCCTACATTAAAGATTTGAATTCGGGATGACAAACAATATACATTCTTCACTAAGTTTTAGTTTTGAAGACTAACTACATAGGGACTGTTCATTATGTTTATTAAAGATTTGACTTCGGGATGACAAACAATATACATTCTTCACTAAGTTTTCAATTTCAATAAATTCACATCCTTGTTGCTCTTTTGAATTATCTACTTTGTGTAATAATAGTTTTAGTTTTGTTACTGTTTTATGTCATATAGCACAAATCATATCATGTTTATATAGGGGCTATTCATTATGTTCACTGTGCTATATTACTTGATCACACACATAGCGATTACATTTTTCATACTAGGATGCATTAAGACATTTGTGCACAGACACACATATATTAACAAATATCAAATCAGCACAAATAACACAGRCGTAGACGTTGGRATTCATTACTGTTTTATGTCATATTGCTGATGTTCATTAGGTTCACAAATCCAAACTTGTATGTATTTGTGAAGTGTTGCGTGTGTGTGATGTTCATTAGGTTCACAAATCCAAACTTGTATGCATTTCGCCAAAATCATCCATTGTTTTGATGAATATTTTGAACCAGATTTTTCGCTAATGATATACACTATTGATCGTATGGATTGACAGTTTCGTAGTTGATTGGAGGTTACGAAATCGTCTGAATAATATAGGTTCACGATGTGATGCGATTTTTTTACAAAATTACCCTTTGAACAGTTGTTCATAAACATCTCATTTAATACATTAATTAAATGATTATTTTTGTAGTCTCATTTAATAAGGACCGTTTGATGAGAAAATGAACGATCAAGATCGGTTAGCATAGTTTGCACAATAGTTTGGGCTAATATTTGAACCAACCCCTATATATATATATATATATATATATATATATATGGAGAGAGAGAGAGAGAGAGAGAGAGAGAGCACTTAGTTCAAATACTAACCAAGAAATTTGTGTTAACTATACTAACCAAGCTTAACCAATCATATTCCATCTAGGTTTACATATATATATATATATATATATATATATATATATAACTTACAACCAAATAGTACAAATTTATATCTAACATGGATCGAACTATTATCAAGCTTGCATTGAGCTCAATTAAGTAAACACAATGCTACAAGAAAACAACTCAAATTCATATGTTACAACTATCAAGCCTATGTCAGGCTCTAGTGAGTGACACATGTACGAAAGAACAATTCAAATCATACATTAGATTTAAGCATGTACAGTTATGCCCTCTTCCCTTGTACTTGATCTCTTCTTTTGTATCGAAATTGCTAGAATGAAGTTCTTGAATGTTGGGGTATTATAGTAATAAGAAAAGATAAGCGTGTTTTTCAAAGTTTGAAAGCATATATCTAAAATACGGATCCTAATTGAGCATAAGAACTCAAATTTCCACTTTAATTGTACTTTTTATAAAGTTTAATTGCATATATTAAATAAGGCAATTAATTATGTTCTTCTAATTAAACATTTAGATCGAAAAATATTAATCATGAATTTATATTTTGGTAATCATGTTTATGACTAATAACTTGTTTAAATTTTATATAAAAATATTATAGTTGAAACTATAAACATATGATTAAATAAATATATAATTACAATTAACTTTTTTATATATTGTTTTTGTAAACTAGGATAAGTTTTATGAATATTTAATTTCGATAATTAATAAATAAATAAATATTTAACAGATAATATATTTCAGCTAATTTTT